GAAGGCAGCCATTACCATTGGGGGGGAGGTGTTCTTTTTGTGCAGAAGGGAATGGGGTGCAAGGCACATTGCTGGCCTGCCACCTCCCCCCCCCCCATAGTAAAGGCAGCCTGCCTGGTTCCCTTCCCCACCATCCCTTTAGCGAGGGGTGGCAGGTTGGTGTGGGGGGAATGTGAGGCCCATGTCCTAGCATTATCGGAGACTGACAGCTCCGGTGCGTTCCTTGCCGTTTTGTCCAGGGAAACTCCTTGTAAAAAAAACCTCATGAGTTCAACTTGCAAGGTTTTTTTTACAAGGGGCTTCCCTGGACGAAACAGAGAGCTGTCAGTCTATGATAGCGCTAGGACGCGCACCTCGCGTTCCCCCGCCAACCTGCCACCCTCCTCTAAATTGGTAAAAGTTGCTAGAAATGAATCTTTGTGAGACTCCAAACAAATGAGAGAATGGGGGGAGGGAAATGAAGGCTGAGGAGAAATTGTGGGCTGGCTGCCGGCAGAGTGTACAACCATAGAGCGTATGCCCAGAGCGGCCACTGCAGGAAGACTCGGCAGCCTACTTCTACAGAAAAAGCCAAGCTGGGATGGCGGCGGCAGGGGCAAGCCACGGCAGCGGAGGTGCCCTGGCTCTGCAGGGAGAGCTGGGCCAGGGCATAGTGAGGCTGGAAGGCAGGCGATCAGGGAGTGGAACAGCCGCTGGGTGGCCAATTTGGAGCGGCACATAGGCTGGGGAGGCCATTTTGGAGTGGCTGTGTGGGCCCAGTGGCCATTTTGGTGAGGTTGACCGTGCCAGACGGAAACTTGAAGCGGCTGCGTGTGTCGGATGGCAGTACGAGGAAGCCGTGGGTGCCAGACAGTGCTGCAAGATAGCCACGTGGAGCTGCACTGCGGTGCCTGAGAGAGCAGAAGCCACTCCAGCTAGAGGGCCCTTCCATTGCCTCCATGAGAAGGTGCTGGCATGAGTATCTCCTGAGGGAGATAAAAATGGCGGACGCGAGGCCCGAAGCCGGCATCGAGGCCCCAGAACAGGAGGGTTCCCCTGGGGTTGCTGATTCTTCACCTGGGCCCCATACCAGGGACACTACAGCCAAGACTTTGGCCTCCCAGTGCCCTTCACGGGCTACTCTTAGGAACAGTGCCGGCAACATGTGCTGGAGAAGAGGGTTGCTCAAGCACAGCGACAAAGGGTGGTGCAGGCACATAGGTCTAGCCCTTCTCCCAGGTCCAGATCACCAATTAGGCTCTCCAGTCCTCCTTCACCTCCACTATCTCCTGTCGGACCTAGAAGGCATAGTTGACTGGAGGTTTCTCCTTCACCTTCTGTTTCACTCAGTGCCATGAGGGATGTGATAGGAAATCCCCTGGAGGCCACTTCTAGGGATTATTTGATGCCTAGGCTCAGCCTAGCTCCCCAGAGAGACGCAGAGGAGGAAGTTGCAGGCCCTTATGAGGATCTGGCTGATCTGGATAATCTGCCAGAGAGCCTACAGAAGATAGTGACTTCAGCCATTTCCCTGGGCATTGCTTCAGGCATGAGGTTACAGAAGCGGTCAACCCAGGTTTCCAGAAAAGCAAAGGAGGGCACCAGAGCCCAGTCTTTGGGCCAATCATCGGTCCCTCGGGAGGTCCAGAGACCAGCCTCTCCATCCCTCACTAGCGAGATATCACTGGTGAGGGAGGAAGTTCACAAGGACCTTGAGCTATCAGAGAACAAGGGGACACCTGTTCCAGATACCCCAGCCTTTCAGAGCTTTCCCCCCCCCCCGCCTTCTTCAAGTCACTTCTCAACAAGGTTCGTTCCACTACCAAATTGGGCCCTGGAACTGCTGCTCCGGCTACTGCCACAACTCAAGATGAGCCTGGCAAGATCATGTTTTCTAAGACATCTACAGAAAAGGAGGAGGGTGCCTGCTCCACCCCTTTTTCTGGAAGTTGTCAAGAACCAATGGGCTCATCCTGGGTCACCCCCGATCCCGGCATCAATGATCGCCGGTTTTATAACACGGACAAGGAATTTTCAGATGCCCTACAGGTTCCAACAGTAGATGCTCTGGTCGCGGCTCTGGCCACATTCTCGGCCCTAGTTTCAGGGGATGTTGCGGACAAGCTTAAAACAGACAATAAGACGGCCGAACTCACCCTACACAAGACTTTGCAAGCATCGGCGTGAGCTATTAAGGCTGCGGCTGCAGCATCCTTTTATAACTGTACCACCTTATTGTGGCGACGTCAGCTGCAGAACCACATTCCCCTGATGACGCCCGCCTTGTTCAGTGGTGGTTGGATTTCAGCCTTCTTTACCTTCTGTGTACTCCGGATAGGTTGCAGTTCTGAAATATGACAGCACTGGAGGATAATGGGTTCCTGGTAGCTTCAAATCTTTAACAGTTAATGTCTTTTTGCTCAACATGTTTCTTGCGACCCTGTTCACTATTTGCAACAAAACATTTGATGCTTCTGTGATCATGTCCCAATATCTTAGCAATTTCAAGTTTCTAAAAACTGGCAATAGGTTTGGGAGTTGATTTTGAGTCTATCTTCAACTTGAAAAGATCCAACTAGCTCATCTTTCATAATACCAGCTCATACCAGTATCCCACCTCCACCTTGCTGGTGTCTGAGTTGAAGTGGAGCTCTGTATCAGTTGCTGATCCAGCCACGGGCCTGTCCATCTGGTCCGTCAAGAGTCACTCTCATCTAATGAGTCCATTAAAACCTTTGAAAAATCTGTCTTTAGATATTTCTTGGCCCAGTCTTGCCATTTCAACTTATGTGTCTTGTTCAGTGGTGGTCGGATTTCAGCCTTCCTTACCTTGGCCATGTCTCTGAGCACTGAACACCTTTTATTTCTGGGCACTCCAGGTAGGTTGCAGTTCTGGAATATGACAGCACTGGAGGATAATGGGTTCCTGGTAGCTTCAAATCTTTAGCAGTTAATGTGCGTCTTTCTTCTCAACATGTTTCTTGCGACCCTGTTGACTATTTTCAGCGAAATGTTTGATGGTTCTGTGATCACGTCCCAATATCTTAGCAATTTCGAGAGTGCTGCATCCCTCTGAAAGACTTTATACCGTTTTTGACTTTTTAAAGTCAGTTAAATCTCTCTTTTGGCTCATTTTGCCTGAGGAAAAGAAGCTGTTTAATAATTATGCACCCCTTGTTTAGGCCACCCCCTTCCTCATTACACAAATACACCTCACCTGATATGCTTATATCCACTAAGCTTTTGAGTTTATGCAGCTTGGAATTGGAAAATATGCATAAAAATGATATATGGTTAAAATACTCACTTGCCTAATAATTGTGCACCAGTGTAATATTTTGAAATATTATTCCAGTAGGTGGAAGCCTGATTCAAAGCATATCAGAGTTGCTTTTGTTGTGAGTAATAGATGCTTGCTGAGTTTTATTTTGTTTTAAAACAGATTCAGAAACCATTCGACTTCCTTATGAAGAAGGAGAATTACTTGAATATTTGGATGCCGAGGAGCTACCCCCTATTTTAGTTGACCTTCTTGAAAAATCTCAGGTTTGAAAAGAATTTGCACGATTATTTGTGGATTTTAATGCATTTTTGGTGTAATGTCAACCCTACTTATGCATGTATGACAGTCAGTTGGGATATACACAGATACCACTATGTAGGCAGTATGTAGAACAAGAGTGATAGCTGTTAACAGACAAAACTGAACAGAGTAAATCTAGAAAAATTGCAACCTTAACAATTGTTCCATGTGGCAAGCCAATTAACAGTTAAACAGGAGAAGAAGATTGCTATTAGTTGTAGAAAAATAGAAATCCTAGTCTGGATTGACAGTAAAAAGATAAACATCCCTGACAAAATGTGTGCATATATAGATGTATGTTCCTTTGTAAAATCAAGGCTGTAATTCACCATTTATGATCCATATGACCCTAAGGCAAAATGGTTACTTAGATTTCTATAGTTGCTTTAGCCCCAAATATTATTTAAATTGCTAGTAATATTACTAGCAGCATTACACTAACCTACTTGTTTTCACAAACTCATTTTAGAGTTCACATCAAAACACAGCTAAGGCAAACATAATTAACATAATATTTTATTTGACAAGCTATGATTTCTGATTCAGTGAGAAACCATGATTTGAATAATGCTTTGTTTAATACCTCAGTGAGTATGATTATGATTATATAAGTTCAAGGATAAAACAAGGCAAAATAAAACTAGATCGGCAGTGTACTAAGACTTAGTTTCTTATGCCCCCCCCCACTTAGTTCCTTTTTCTAGGGCATTTCTAAATTAAAAATTAGAAAGGAATTTATTTTGAACTATTGTTTGTCATATGCGTCAAAGTTCATGTCATAATTTGACCAGAATTGTTCCTTAGTATATGATTTAGAACTTTGAGTTTGTCTAAAAAATTTGAAAGCAAGTATCATTTTTTATATGACCTGGTGCCATCCTAATTCTTCTGATATATTGATAGAAGATGCATTTAACAATTGTTCCTAAGATGTAATTATCATTTTGATTCTACTTAAGTATAATCATACTGTTAAAAATCTGTGTTAAAAACATTAATGACTGTGTAATTCTATGTTTATTTTCTAAACAGATTAATATTTTCCATTGTGGGAGTGTCATAACAGAAATACGTGACTATAGACAGTCTGGTAATCTGAAATCTCCAACGTATCAAAGCAAACACATTCTTTTGCGCCCAACAATGCAGGTAAACTCCTCATGCTTTCAAGAACTGCAATTGCTAAAGCTTCAATTAACTTTCATTTATATTTCATAACAAATGGTTACCCTCCTTTTTCCCTAGACCTTGATTTGTGATGTGCATTCTATTACAAGTGACAACCACAAGTGGACACAGGTAGAAACAAAGTTATATAAGCCTTGTGATATTATAAGTTGGTAGTGCAGAAATTTCTGAACTAAGATACATTTTTGGTGTAAGCTGTATTTCTGGTGTAAGACTGGTATTAGCTTATTCAATGAACCACCGAACAAATCATTTTCAAATAGCAAGCCTGTATTTGGAATATGATGGAATGTTCTTCCATAATGAAAACGAACATATCAGAAAAAAATACCACTTTTCCAAATATCTATGTTGAAAAATATTTTATTCAAAGGAAATTCATTCAAGTAAAGAATACAGGTAGTCCTCCGCAAAGAGTGCTTTGCGGCCCATAAAGCACTTCCGGTTGCACACACGGCTGTAGCATCTCATGGGTATATCACCATGATTTGCAATGTTTTTACCAGTTTCTAGTGTTACTTGCCAGTTTCCAGCAAAAATATGCCCATTCACAAGAATGGATTCAGATTTATGGCCATGTGATTTGTTTAATGACTGTTGTAAAAATGGTCATAAAATCATGTGGATGCCTTGACTTACGACCACAACTTACCACCCAAATTCCAATCCCAATTGTGGCCATAAGTTGTTGACTACCTATACAACTTAGGTGCAAGTTTAGCATCTTATTCAGAAACCAGAAATAAAAAGTGTGGACTTGGTTCCTAGTTGCAATTGTTTCTTATGGCAGAACATTTGAGTTACAGAATTAGAAGTTGGGTCTGCTTTCACATGCCATCTTTTATTGTCTTCTGGGAGACCTTTTGATCTTTCAGAATAACATACGGGGAGACAACAGCAAAACAGGCTGCAAGGAGAAAGAAGTAGGAAAGCAATCAATAAGTATACTCCTATAGAGTCCCACTTGTTATCTGAACTGATATGATGGATGGCAAACAGTGGTTGTGTATGTGCTGCCATTCTTATATGTGGCACACATTGTGTTAAGCAATATTTTATTTAATAATTCTTAGTTGAACAACCCATCAAATTAGTGTTTTAAATGAATACATAATCATTACTTATATGACCAATTTCTAGTTTGTTTTCCTTTTCTCTGGTTAAGACATGATAGTAAATAGTTAATAAACAAATAGTTAATATTTGACAGCAACTGTAGCTCTTAAATTCTAGAAATTGAGCAATTTCTGACTTGCTGTACTTTTTTTTGTGTAACTAGAATATGGGTATTATTAAATATGTTACTAAAATAATGTTAAATATAAATTTATCTACTTCTAAAATGGCAGTACTACTCAGTCTTGAAAATTATTGGAACTAAAAAGTCAAACCCAATAGATTCAAAAGGAAAACTTGTCTATTAATATTTACACATACAGTATGTTTAAGAATCAACTTAATCTAGCACATTGATAAGAATGAAACTAATTATTGTCTACATAAATATTGAAAATGAAATATATTGACATCAGTGGACTAACTTGTAAAAATGTGCATATAAATTTAGCATTAAAGAATTATTGCCCTTTTAGAATCTTCTGCATTTGTGTTTTAGGAAGACAAACTTCTATTAGAAAGTCAACTGATACTGGCAACAGCAGAACCTCTGTGTCTAGATCCATCAATTGCTGTTACGTGCACAGCAAACCAGCTTTTGTATAATAAGCAAAAAATGAATACTCAGCCAATGAAACGGTACTGGAAAATATTCATCTTTAGAGAATCTTTGCAAAAATTTGCTTTCTGTTATACTGGGGGAAAGGTTGATTACATTCAAGTTAGATAACTTTTAAAAACCTATACAATAACCTAGAATACTGAATGCAAATATATTTTAGGGAAAAAACCTTTGGATTTGCAATACAATTGTAAATGTATATTAATTAATAAAAGTTTTTTCCCTTTGGTTTAGTCATATCCAATTCTCTGGATTAGGCCTGCAATTTTCTTGCAAAGGTTTTTCAATAGTCACTTGCCATTGCCCCTCTCTCTAAGCTGAGAGAAAGTGACTGGCCAAAAGAAAGTGATAGCTCACCCAGCTATCTTTGTGTCAAACTCATGATGACACATTGTTATCACATGGCATATTGCAACTTCTGCCCCTTCACTAAATGTGGGTGTGGCCAGAGCATGATGTGGGCCGTGAGTTTGACACCCCTTGTCTAAGTCTCCTGGTTTCTAGCCTGGTGTCTTAACCACTACAGAAAAGGAATTGTAAATATAATATATTTACAAATTTAATATATATATATATTTACAAAATTAAATGCAAATATTTTACAAATTGAAGATATAAGCTTACAATTGACTTAATTTCCTTGATTTAAAAGGAATTGCACAGCAGTTTTGCAACTACATTATTAAATCATGATTTGTATATAATGCTTATAAATGCTTGTACAAATGTGTTCAAAAATATAAATTTTCTTTACATGATCCTTGCAATATCTTACAGATGTTTCAAGAAATATTCCAGGCCATCTCTGAATTACCAGCAGGAGGTGTCTCAAAGTACCATTCCACCACAGTTCAAGCTATTTGATTATTTACAAAAAAGAAAGGAGAGAAGAGGAAGCCAACAGTATGATCTCAAAATTTCCAAAGCTGGAAATGTATGCTTATTTTAAGAAGCTTTTAAAATAATACAGTTGTGAAATGTATCGATCCTGATGACTATTTATATATGTTTAACCTTCTTTTAGTGTGTTGATATGTGGAAACAGAACCCCTGCTATTTGACTGCACCATCTGAAATAGATGTAAGTTTACAGATTTACCAAGCTTTCCTTCTATCATCCAAGCTGGTGGGGGTGTTTCGGTGAAATCCTAAACCTGTTTGCTATTTTGTGACAATTTAATTTATTCTAATTAACCCATTGCCTAATTATGTAATTATTTAAAATGTTGAATTTTTTATTTTATTTTTAGAAATGAAGGATTCTTTTGCTGATGTCAGTAAATTCGTTGTGAGAGTTTTTCTGGGAATGTTTTATCCTCCCTATTTCTAAAGATGAATGTCATTACAAGTAATTTTTAAAAATCCTCATTAGAGTTATACGTAATCAACTGGTTAATCCAGCATAGATAGTCTTTTGGGCTGAAAGGCTCAGCTAGAGTAGAACCACATGTCTGTCTGGCTCCAGAGGAGATTGAACTAGGTTGATTAGATTTCTTAAAATTACCAAAATGATACTATTTTTTAAAAAAATAACTATATTATTTATAAAATGTATGCCTTATTCAAGTGTTGCTTTTATTCACTTGCACTTTAATTTGGTTTTCTTATTTCTCAAGGTGGAAAAATATGCTAAAGTGGAAAAATCTATGAAACCCGATGATTCACAACCAAGTGTCTGGCCAATTCATGTGAGTAGTAGTAAATTTTTAATTTCCAAGAACTATTTTTTTTTTAGCAAAAATTGGAAATGCAATGTAATGAATAATTTGTTCATGATTGCATTTAGGTGACTAAAGGAAAATTCTGCAGATCATTTTCAATTATTCAGTAAAACAGAACACTTGTGAATTCTTCAAGTGGGCAACTTCTTAGCAATAGAATGTAATTGTGTATAAGCTGCTGTTGAGTGTGTGAATAAACCAGTTTATTGTATTCAGAATTCTATTGCGTCTCAACTATAGGTATCATACAGACAAAGATCAGTTGTCCAACAGCGATAATTCCAATCTTTTGTAATTAATAAAATAAAATTTTATTTTATTAATTACAAAAAAATTATTTTATTTTATTTTCCATCTGCTCTGTCAAGAGTCACTCTCATCTTATTAGTCCATAAAACCTTTGAAAAATCTGTCTTCAGATATTTCTTGGCCCAATCTTGCCATTTCAACTTATGTGTCGTGTTCAGTGGTGGTCGGATTTCAGAATTCTTTACCTTCTGTGTATTCTGGGTAGGTTGCAGTTCTGAAATATGACAGCACTGGAGTATAATGGGTTCCTGGTAGCTTCAAATTTTTAGCAGTTAATGTGTGTGTTTTTTTCTCAACATGTTTCTTGCGACCCTGTTCACTCTTTGCAACAAAACATTTGATGGTTCTGTGATCATGTCTCAATATCACATTGTCTGATTTGGAAAGATTTTTTTTGCAAATTATGGTGGAAAATAAGTATTTGGTCACCTACAAACAAGCAAGATTTCTGGCTCTCAC